TCAGGCTGGTTTCGAACTCCTGAGCTCAAACAATCCGCCCGCCTCGGCCTCCCAGAGAGCTAGGATTACAGGCGTGAGCCACCGCGCCCGGCCTCTCTGTTCTTCTGATTGAATAATTTATTTTATCTTTAATTTTATAGATTCTTTCTTATGTAATATCAAATCTGCTCTGCAGACCATCCAGTGAATTTTTTATTTAAGTCATCATACTTTTGATCTCTAAAATTTCCACTTGGTTCTTTTTAATAGTTTGTATTTCTTTTTTGATACTTCCTATTTGTTTAGTTATGTCATCATAACTTTGAGCATGACTTCCTTTATTTCTTTGAATATATTTATAATGTTTTGAAGTCTTTGCTAAATTCAATATGTGGTTCTACTCAGATAAAGCTTTTTCTGGCTACCTTTTCCCCCCCGATACAGGTCATAGTTTGTTGTTTCTTTACATAGCTTATAAGTTTTTCTTGGAACTGGACATTTTATATAGTATAGCAACTCTGGATTCTGATTTTATTCATTTTTTCCTGCAGGTTGTATTCATTTATTAAGTAACTTTTGTGGATTTCATCTGTGAAATCTGTCTCCACTACCATATGCAGCTACTGGTGTCTTCTCAGCTTTTACAAAATTTAAAAAATAATTTTTTTTTTTTTTTGAAACAGGGTCTTGTTCTGTTGCCCAAGCTGGAATGTAGTAGTACAGTCACAGCTCACTGCAACCTCAAACTTCTGGACTCAAGTGATCCTCCTGCCTCAGCCTTCTGAGTAGTTGGGACTGTAGGTGCATGCTACTGCACCCAGCTAATATTTTTTGTTTTTTTGTAGAGACAGGTCTTCGTATGTTGCTTGGGCTGGTCTCAAGTGATCCTCCTGCCTTGGCCTCCCAAAGTGCTGGGATTACAGGCATGAGCCACTGTGCCTGATCTATTTTTAATTTTTAGCTTGGCTTTCTTGGGTTCCCACCTGTGATTGCATAGCTTAGTGTTTAGCTAATGATTGTTTGGAGGTTGTGTCTAAATCCTTGAGCCAATAAAGCCTTCATCCTCTGCTAGTGGGTTATATGGAGGCTGAGGTGGGAGAAGATTGCTTGAGCACAGAGTTCAGTGTCAGTCTGGGCAACATAGTGAGACCCTGTCTCTAATTTTAAAAAAATAACTACAGTCTTGTTTTCACATTTTCCTCTTTTACTTTATATTGGGTTGTCTTAGGTCTCCCTGTCCCTGTGCATACACTCAGTTTTTCTGTTAGAGAGGGATTGTGTGGAGAGCTTGGTCTCTCAGGTTTCCCAGTTCCCCTGTGCATATTCACAGTCTGCCATTTAGCTGGCATGCTGTGGGGATCTTGGGACCTTGTAGGCATCACCTGCACATGTGAGCAGCCTTCTAGTCAGCCAGTGTTTTATGGAGAGCATAGGCCAGGGACTTTAAGGCCACAGGTTCCCCACCCCTGGCACAGGCCCTCTTCTGAGGATATGGGGAGTATTTATCAAGAACTTTAATGGCTCTTCCATTTCCAGGGTCTCCCTTTTAAATTTCTAGCTAGCTCTCAGGTTTGTTGTTTACCCCCAACCAATACAGCAATCTCAGGCTAAGCAAGCTGCAGGCTTTTCTGTTTCTCACTGGATGTGGGTTTTCTATTCTTTGCTCCAAATCAAAGTCATCCCCTTTTGGCAACGAAGCTGCTGATTTTCACAATCAGCCTCACCTTGATGAAGCTTCCATATCAGTGGAC